CACCTCAGCGGCATTGTCCAGGCTGGTGCCAATGTTGAGGCTCTTCTCGTTACTCATGATCACAGCACTGTAACAACGCCAAGCCGAAGACTGGAGTACTTATCAAGCCATAGTGTCTCGGCATGCTCTGGGCAGAACCAGAATATATGCAAAGCCCTTATCAGCTATGACATGAACATATTGCTCACTGCCCTACTTCCACTTACCCACTCTCCCCTAAAGCGACTTGAAATCCAATATACGGCTTCAGTATTGGGATCGCTGGCCCCCTCTCTTAAGAATCCACCAGCAGGGGAAGAAGTGCCGCGCCGCCAATAGGTTCTCAAGTGTTTATCGCGGTGGGATGTGTGGAGTGTTGCAACTGGGGGGGTCCCGGCCAAAAAAATTGGAGAATCTGGCCAACTGCCGCTCCTGAATGCTTATTTCGGGACATTACCCTACTAAGCTTTAGGAAGGTCTTCATTGATGTGTGCTACGTCTCATGCAGAGCGGCTAGAGAATCGGGTCTTCACTTTGTTTACGTACAGATAATCATTGACTGACACCCGAAATTCTTTTGCAATCCACGCACTCGTGTGCTTTTCACCAGCAATGACTACGGCGCGCGTCACAGCTATCTTCTCAGACTTACAGTAGAATTTGACGTACTTGTTACAAGGAAACACGAGGCAAAAAGTTGAAGATTCCACTGCATCCCATTGATTATTTTCCATGAGGGCCACTGATACCTTCTCACATGTCGCAATACCTTACCCTACACTGCTATCTTCATCTATGTAGCACATGAAACAAACAGCAAATGAGCCTCGAGGAACTTCAACCTTTCTTATTGGTGCTTCCCTGAATGTTGTCTGATGTCAAAGTCCCTTTCCCAAGAGCCGTGTACGCTGCAAGCATTTTGGGCTGGATCGTCGAAGCCAAAGGCACCTGTTGACCTGGAGGGCAGAGAAAAACATATCGCACCATGACTGTGTTAACATCAAAGGTGAAATGCTCAAACAACCTCCCATTCCTAGGCTTCCAGGGTATTGCAGAATTGGCGACTTCGCAGCCGAAGACGACCAAATACTGGGATCCTTCAAAGGAGCTTTTCTTCCACGGCCGGAGATGACCGTCCTGACGGAACTTTGCGGCATATCCCAAAGATATTGAAGGCTCTGGTGCGTAGAAAAGACCAATTCTGTTTGCCTTCAAACCCTCCGTCAGTATTTTCAAGGTGTTGAAGCTTGGAGTCCCGTGAAAGGCGACTGAGCCAGACGGCGTCCGGAGAGCATTTATCTTGTGCATGAACCTCGTCTGTCGGTCCAGATGGGCATTGAGCAGGAGAAATTTATGAGCACTGCCCATCCCATTGATGTGCAAGTTGGCCGTAGGTGGTAGTGAAACTGGACAACCACAAAAGCTCGAGGAAATCCAAGAGAGAAATTTGATGCGTTCACGTCGGTAGCTTGTCTGATATAACGTGTCGGTATCGAGTGACGACATCAGTCTTGTCAAATCTTTCGGAAAGGAATCGATGAGGGAAGGAATGCGACCAGAATCTATCGGACAATCTCTAAGCAGAGACTGAAAAGTCCCTTGTGGTGCAAACTTGTTTTTAGTCAATGCAGCCGTATAGATACAGCAGAGCAAGAAATCAAAGGCTTTCAAGTCGATGATCAGCTGAGATAATTGTGCACTTAGCGGCCAGGCCTCGAGCTTCTTCTTGCATTGATCTGAGCATGTGGCTGAGTTCCAAGTTTTCACATTGTTTCTCTTGCTGCATATCAGACATTTAGTAGTGGGATTGGAGGTGATCACCTGCTCAATCTTCTGATGAATGTCTGCAAGTGTAACGCCCTTTGATGTGCGGATGAGGTTGTATAACTCGATACCAATAACGCAGGTCATGATATTTGGTCTTGTCGTGCAAATTACCTTGTTTGGCTGTTTATCGCTGTCGACGCAAAATTGGTGACCGAACGAGGGTGATTTGTCACTGGAGTTGTGGACGCAGAAGTGAGTAGAAGTCTCCCTCCCCGTATCATGAAATTTGACTCGAACAACAATCGATGTAGCAGTGTCTCTGATGCCCCAAGCCAACTTTCGCACGAAACCCATTGATTGCAGGGAGCATCTAATGGTGAACACTCGCTCGGTTTTGTCTCGGGACACCTGATTGATGAAATTCCTTAGATGGCGAGGGATCCGGAATCTTGCGCTTTCTTCATCATCTTGCTTGGTTCGTTTACGATTCGAAGGAGATCTGTAAAAACCGAACTTCCTCTTTTGATTGGCCATCTCGTAGATGCTGGGTAATTTAAGAACTCCAATGGTGGAGAGAGCTGGTATGACGGCCGGGATGGTTATGTCAAAAGTTCCTTATCCCGGGTGAACCCAGACGCAAAGGTTATATAAGACCGAATTCTATGACACCGCATATTCTAGCACCCTGTAGAAGGCTAATGAGTTTGAAGACAACTAAGACATGTGCCGTATTGTAGGCATCCGGCGTTTAGGAAAAAACATGGAAAGGCCTGCCTACTAGACGGTCTCACAGTTTCTTTGTATCCAATGACTTGACTCATTACCATCTGAAGTAAGTCATATGTCTTTACTAGTCTTTGCTATCTTATGGCGTGAGTCTGGAAGTTCTACTTGAATTCAGACTAGGAATTGATGAACATCTTTTGGTGATATATTGTTGCTCTCATTAAATCATTCAATTTTCTTTCATTTAATAAATAATGTTCATATAACAGTAAATCTTTATGTAAACTACAGTGGACGCTATTATGGAAAGCAACAAAGGTAGCTAGAAAATAGGGTTAGATGATTGGATTCTTCTCGAATGTTGTCTCGAAAGACTCGAAATGAGAGTTCAGTTACACAGTGACATAATTTCAACGACATTAAGTGAATGATGCCTTAAAGTTATTGATAATATGTTATATCTGCCTCCCCGCCGTTCTAGCTGCTAATTGTAACCTAACTAATCAGGAAGCCGACAGGCAGAACCACCACTAATGAATAAATCGAAGTACGTGTGCAAAGGTAAAAATTCAAGAGAATTAATAGGCTCGATTCCTAAGCATCCAGTATGAATGGGTGGCGGTCAATGATATGAGCTTTATTTCCATCTCGCCTCATTATGTAATAGTAAATTATCCAGACGCGTCCCAGAAGTTTGCTGCCCCTTCAATGTCGTCGACGTTTAGTAGATCTACTCCATTGTCGTACAATGTTCTCCAAACCGCGTTTCTCGTTCCCACTGGCCATCCAGGCTGGTCCCAATATCTCACTCCAATACTCTTTCCATGCGCAGTCGCAACTTGACTTTTCAAAGTATCCAGCTGTGTGTCATTGAATGTTTGATTTCTCACATTACCAAAAACAACTGCAAAGTCAGTACTAGCGATAGGACTGACTATGCTCGTGATGTTTGAGAATGTCGAATTCAGTGTGGCAAGCGGTGCGTCCCAAAAATAATCTCTCTGGTTTACACCTTGCACTTGATTCAATGGCGTGTTGCCCGTACCAATTACTGTCACGGGGCCAGAGATAACGTTGCTGCCGTTGACTGTCGTCAAATAGCCTGCGTCCCGCAATGGCTTCAGCGCCTTGATAACATAGGGAAAGGTGGTAGCCCCATCGGTCTTCACATCGACCCAGAGATACAAGGTCTGTCCGCTTGAAGTGTCAAAAACGCCGTTGGGCGTCGGACTAGTTACGAAGCTAGTATTTGGGTTCTGAGCACGAATGACGCTGAGAATTGGCTGTATGTATAGACTGTCGAAAGTGCGCTCAGGAGTTAATGCACTAATTTCGTGACCGACGTACAGTGTTCCGTTGATGAGCGACACGTCGGCTTCTACGCTCACAGCACCAACAGACAGTGCGGAATAAAAAGGTACCGGACGCCAGTAGTCGTTATGTGAGTGCAGAGGCTTGGGGATAATGCCTTGGGTCAGGGCAGTGGGGTATGTGTAAATTCCCGTACCCGCCTTGTCTAGGATCTTTTGAAGAGGTTTGGAAACAGGTATATCTGATTGCGCAACGGCCAATGCCGCAACGGCAACAGAGAGCAGGAGTCGTAGCATTGTGGTTGCTGAAAGACTCGGCGGTTCGTGCTCTGAGGCATAGAAGTGCCACAATCCGTGAGCCCTCCGCAGTGATTTTTAGAGGAACTGGTGTTTTTTAAATGCATGCAATGACGGTCTAGACTGATATATCTCGGCACCAATTGCACAAGAGCATCCAAACATGACAATGCAGTTCGTGGATTGTTTGTGGGTCTCGAAGCTTGGATTTCCCAGCCGGGATGTCTTCCTTTCCGTGGTTGAAGCTACGCCAATGAAGCACTGCACGTGGGGTGGATGCATCATCAAGGATCGATACCGAGTAATTGCAGCAAAACACACAATTGACCATCTGGTGAAATTGTTTTTCCCATTGGCCCTTTTAAAGTCTGCTACATGCTCGTAGTGTATCGTCATAGCTTGTGATAAATGGGCAGGTGTCGAAAGTTGTAGAAGTGCCCAAGTCACCACTTCGTGCCTAAGGGGTCTCATCCGCAATTCTTGGTTCTCAGTGTCTGCCACTCTTCCAACGGTCACTAGTACTAATGGTACGTGTTTCTACGAGTGTCGGTATCTTCGGTTATCATGTATCCGCACTTCAATGTCTTCATATCATCTTATTACTGGATCTTACAAGGAAACCTTACTTCCTTGGCGGTAAATTCCTAGCCAGAAGGGTGATCGCTTGCAGCGACGTTACACTGGTGCATTACCCTGGGACCATATGACCTAGGAAATTCGGTCTAAACCGGTTTCAGCATTTGACCTTGTCAGGACGGATAGACCAGGACTTACAATACTGTGCCACAGCGCACGATTGTACCAGAGGATAACATCTTGCTCCTCATGGCGATGAGCATAGATGTTTTCTGGCTCCAGAGCCGGGCGCATTAATCTTCACTATGTCAGAAGACTTCTTCATGAGAAAATGATGGCAGATACTCACTTATTCATGAACGCTCGCACCTCCTTGAGATCATCCACTACCTTTTCCTTGCCATCCGGGCTATCCTTCAGGTAGAGCTTGAATGCACCCTGGCCATGAACCTGCAACGACTTTTCGCCCGTTTTGGGATTCGTCCAGACCATGGGATAAATACAGACTTTGTCCTTTTCCCACGGCGGGAGCTTATCCAAAGGCTTCTCGAGGCCTTCGGTCTCTAGGAGATGACCAAGGCGTGTACTGTGTGCAGTTGACATCCAAACGAAAGCGTGTGGTGCATACTCGATTCGGCTGTGCATGACTATGTTTCTGGTCTCATCGTCCAACAATTCGAGAGCTCGGGAGCCGGCTACCATGGCGGTAGAACCAGGAGCTATCTTCATTTCCGTACCAGTGCCATCGTCCCACCTCACTGTGACATCGGGGCCCTTTGGCGTCCGCACTGCGAGAAGGCAACCCACGCGCGGAGGCGGAATGCTGTATAGCGAGCCATCAAAGTGCCACTGGTAGAATCTGCTCGCGCCGCTTTCCCGCTCCTCAGAAGGGATGTGAGGTGGAAGGTGGAAATCTTCGTGGTCAATACCCTGGACCTCAAAATCTGGCGGGAAGCCATAATGCTCTTGAGGAAGTGGTCCCCGACCAAGAATGTGGACTTGAGGCTGTACAGGAATGGCAGGCCTCTTTGGGATACCATAGATCTTAATTCCATTGTGCGATGTCAGGAACGGGTCTGCACCATGTGCAAAGCCACCGGTAGTCTCGTCAGGATCAAAGCTAGGACAATCAGTATACTATGCAAACAACAAAGAGCCATATCTGCTCACCTAGACGTTAGTCGGTATTGTTGTTGGGGACTGAGCATTTGCGGTTGTTCCTTGAACACCAACATCTTATGCTTATGCAGTGCGTCGGAAATGAATTCAAAGTCGGCATCGGTGAAATTATTTAGATCAATACCGTAGACAGATGCACCAAAATCAACCTTGCTAGTTGGCCCATGGTCCATAGGGACCACGCGTCCTGTCGTATGCGTGGCATGGGGAAGATCGAAAACTGTCTTTTCCGAGATCAGATGAATATCTGTTGTCTCTTCCGTGATCACTGATGTGACAACCATTGTGGTACCAAATAAACGGGCCAAGCTAAGATCGCGTCGAGTTCTGAATGTGTAGAGTGTAGAGTCAATGTGTAAGTCGTCCTAGGTAATATTGAAAAGCCTTAATCGACAACAATGACTTGTGTTATTCTTTCGCTTGCTACCAGAGTGTTGTTGCGGCTATACAATAAGAATCTATTTTGTAGATAAGCTCTTTGAGGTCCATTCTGAATGCCCACCTGTAGATACAGTCGTGGGACGGCGGCGCCTTTTAGGCTCGGCCGAGGTCAGTTACCGCTGAATTCATCTCCACTACTGGCTCGGCCGATGCATCCAAACGAGATCTCCCAACCCGGCCGAAGAAGAGAGAATCTCGGCCAGGAATACATTGGCGAGCTCAGTCTTGCCTCCCTAGGAATCTTGAACCTCCCATTCGATCATAACACCCTAGGCATCCAGCTTGCTTTGTTGGGACACTATACACTGTCACAATTGCCTATCATGATTGCCTTAGAGCTGAAGTCGTATGTATACGAAGCTCCCACAGGGACGCAAACACACTATTTACAAACTGGAACGCCGGGTGGCCCGCTACTATTGTGTTTGCATGGACTTGGAGGTTCAACAAATACTTTTTTACCACTCCTCCCATACCTTCCAAAGACGTATAATATCAATTTTGTTGATTTCCAAGGCTTCGGTCAATCTCCGTTGTCTACAGAAGGCCCGTTCTCTGTGGCTGGCCATGTCGCCGACTTACACCATCTCATCACATCTCTGCAGGCAGCTGATGACAGCACGGCGGGAGTGCAAAAGGTGAGCAGTTGAACAGGAAGTCAAAGTCTTGGATCTGAAACCCGAACTGAGACTGATCGTGATTTCTCGCAAAGATTATCATCATCGGACACTCCCTCGGCTCAATCATCGCCTTGCACTATGCCTCACAACAGCCCAGCTCTGTCGC